TTTATAGATTTAAAAGGCACAATAATTTATCTACTTATACCGAAGTATAAGTTAGTAGAAATTCATTTATTTTTCTATTATAAGTAACTATAATACTATTTTAAAATACTCATAAAATCAATTTTATATTATTTTAAATTAARAGGAAATTCATAAATTATAATAGTTAACTAGTATCACAATGATTTAAACTATAAATATTTAAAGATCTAATACATATTATATTAAGAAATATGAAAGAAATCACATTTAGTATACCTCACAACTAATGTAAACAATTATTAATGCAGATTTAACGGATATGTTTTATAAGCTATAAATTCTATAATTCTTTTTATAACCTAATACAATCTAATACTAAAAACAGTCTAAAGTATTATTTTAATGTTTAAATGATTGAATTTGATATTGCAGAATGAATTATTATTAAGTAGGTTACTAAAAGTATAAAGTATTTCATTAATGTCAAATGTTTGTAAACATATTCCAAAAGACTTTAACTCAATTTTCAGTAAATTTTCAGTAAATTTTCAGTAAATTATCTAAATAATTTTATTAATTAGGAAAATTTTTATGAAAAGTATTTATTTTTTAAACATATCTATAGTCATAGTTTTAATATTATAAACATATATAAATGTATATATATATATATATTTATATTTAGTAGACATAAAAAAATAAAATACATATAATTGGTTCATTACAATATTACATATTTAAAGTTTAGCTGCTTAGTCATATATACTAAAGCTAAAATTAGACTTCTATACTAGAACACATCCTTTATTTAATGGAATATTTAATATATTCATAATCAATATAAGTTAAAATAATTTCTATTTAAAAACATKTCAATCTTAATAATAAATTATGTTTTTTAGTTTCATATACTTCATAATTATTTCATGTTGAATGTTAAATTAAAATTTGAATATTTTATGGAATTTACATTTGTTAAGTTAATTAAATATTCTTTTTATTAGCTCAATTTTTATCTACCAAATATTCTAATATTTTTATATTAAGTTTTTATATACAAATTTTAAATGATAAAATGAGATATTCTGGTAAACTGAAATTCTTAGTATTTTAATTTGAGTGTGAAGAATCAATAAAAAAATTCATAATATGATCATATTGAACAAAATTACAATAAGCAAATATTTTTAAATTTAGTCTCAAAAATAACATTAATTAAGACAATTCTACAAAAGTTTCTATAAAGCTATATAAATGTTTTCTTTACAGCATTTAAATATGAATTAATTAAATAAAATGTTCTTGGTAGTGTTGTATGAAGATAATGTGTGGTATACTAAAATATACATTTTTAGGTTACATAATATTAATATTATTTGTGCTATATGGAAATAAAATTTTTGAAAAATATATATATTAGTTATATATATAGTATATATAGTATATATATAAGTTTAAATATAAATTTAGTTATATATAAAATAAAAACTAATATAAAATAATTTAAATTAGAATGTAAATGAGCTTAAAATGAAAAAAAAAATATTAAATAATATTGAATATTATRAATATAATAATATACAGTCAAATAAATTAACATGTTTGTAATAATATTATCATACTGTAGTTTTTAGTATTTACACCATAGTTTCAGGATCGTTCCAGTCATATGGATGGCTTAATATGCTGATATCGCTATCAAATGATACTCTCCTTGATCCAGATTGTATGCTATTAATGCCACGAAGAAGATCTATATCTTCATCAAATGAACAGCCTCCGCCTTCTGATCTCAATTGTAAAGATTCAGTACTTTTTGAAGATAATTGAGAAGTCAAAGAATGTTGAGAGTTTTCTTTATAGTACATGCCATTAAATGTATACACTTTGTCTAATCTAAAAAAAAACTTTAYGTCAATACTTTAAAATAATTTTAACAATATACCTTATTTTACCGGTCAGTATTTGATTGCAAGTGGTCAGATTGTGGTGACGACATATCTGATACAAGAGGAGTACTTTCATCATCACTGCTTGCTGTGGCACATACTGCTGAAGAATGATTTGTATCTTGTGGTGGACTCGTTGGTAATTTTTCATTGCTGCAAACTGGTGATATAGTGACTGCAGGTGGTTGTTGGACCCAACTTGTACTCGCTACTAAGCAACTTAACATGCCAACTGAGCCTGCAATACCTTGTTTTACAATTCCGCTAGCCTTAAACAGGGTTTTAATCTCATTATTAACAATATTTGAAAAATACAGGTTACTTTTAACTTTTAMAAGTTATGAACATACTTGTATACAATTTTTTGTTTCTGGTATTGTGTCTGCATCATCCAGTCTGTTCATTACTAATGATGCTGGTCTTTTAATAGATTTAAGCAAAAACGGTTTACCTGCTTTTTCAGTAGTTGTAGTGACAATACACGTCTATAAAATTTAAAAAAAGTTATTGCATACTAAATTATTTAAATAGTTATAAAAACAACTTTATAATCAATAGGATTTTTCCTAGAAGCAATTGGAGTATTATTCAAAGAATTTGCTGAAGCAGAATTGTTTCCCTCATATTGAAATGCTGGATATTGAACAATACTATGATGAGGTGAGTTCTGAAAAAAATAAATAGAAAATAGCATATGCAATCTTATTTATATTTATATTTTTAATATAAATATTGATGAGTGAAAACATTTTTATTACCTGAAGTAAAAATGCATCAACATCTCCTCCGTTATCGTTACTTGAGGTTGTACTACACACGGATCCATCACCTATAAAATCAAGTAACTAAAAATAAAGGGGGCAATAACTAAATGTTTTTATGGCATTTATTGGCATACTTTATTCACTGCAGTGCAGTATAATGTTATATTGTTATTTAAAATATGAAAGCAGTGCTAAACTTGAATTATCTATAAATATTGTTAAGGAKAGCTTAGCTTAGTATTGTGTTGATGTTGTTTGTAAAATTGTAAAGCCACTTATTTCTATAGACTTTGTAGTATAGTTCATTGTTAATTGGAAGTTAATGAATTAAATGGTATGCTAGGTATATATAAATGCATGTAATAGTGTTTTTATGATCAGTAATTGTTCAAAAACAGAAATTTCAAGGYAAATTTGTAAGAAATTATACTAGATTTTTTTAAATTTTAATATTAAAATGAAAATTAATAATATTTTTTAAGGGCATTCATCTCTATTTTTCATTTTTAAAGAATCTAATAGCAGATAACTTATAAATCATTGTCGTGGAAACATAAAATGATTTCTAAAACAAAAAGCACTAAGTAAAACCATAATCATTTTCAATAAAATTTATAATCTAAAACCTAAACATGGATAACTTATTTAAATGTATTATGAATAGCTAGATATTTTCTACTTCAAATATAAATAAAAATCACTGATGTGCATAATTAATTATCCAATTAAAAAACTTATGCTAGTATATAAAAATAAGAATAAAGCAATTTAAAACAATTAATTGATATATTAGTCTTATAATTTAAAGCCTGTAGACTTAAGTGATTAACTACTAAAAAATACTGCATGTAATTAAAAGCATAATGCTAGTGTATACAGAATATATTATATACTACATAATTGGTACCTAATAAGCAATAGAAATCATAACACATTATTTATTTCACTCATTTTAACATAGTACTTTTCTATGCATGTGAAAATATTAAAATATTATTTTTAAGCTTTCAATATTTTACATTTTAATATCTTTTTAAAATCACTTATACTTACRAAAAATAATATTTTTGAGCAATTAAATAAAATTAAAAAATATAAAACAAACAATTTATAGTAAAATGATGTATGCAGCCTTCAAAATTGAGTCATAAAGATTAAAGGTACACTTTTTTCCATAATTTAGTTGACATAGTGATAATACATGAAAAATATTACATTTTCTCACAGAACAGTCAAAACTTTTATTGTGGTTGAACAAATTCACTTACAAACAATACACTGGAATAATAATAATATACAACCATAAGCACAATTTTAGTTTAGGGTCATCGATTAGAAATAATATTTTGCTAAATACAACCTGAGAGTCACGAAAATGTGTTTGATAAAATACTAACTTTGTATATTATTTCTTATAACGTAAAATTATTTTGTACAGTCAATGGAGGTGTAATGTAAAATAGTGAAATTGTCATATCTTAATGTTGTGATAAAAAGTTTATTGAATCATGCAGGATATTTTGTATAGGTTATTTTTAAAATGADTTGAATTAGTAATAATATACAAAACTCTTTTTTTTCTTATGTTGTAAATCAATTAAATTTAAGAAATATTAAAATATCCTAAAACTAATGATTTAATTTATACGAATAAAATGTTTATATACATTAAGACCGTTAAGTAAGTAATAAGTATATATTATACATTTACATAATGTTGAAGGGAGGTCAGATCATTAAAATAAACAATTTTGGGAGTTGTGAATCAAAAAAAWGGTTGCTGTGAAACACTGAAATAAATAATAAGTAAGTTAWAATATTCATGGTCATAAGTTTAACAGACATGCATTTGTTTAATAATAATAGTTTATAAAATTGACATGTATTTTGTTTATTAGTTATCAGTTAAAATACAATTCCTTAGAATTTATTAAAGTTATAACAAATTTTGAAGTTATAAAAGTATTTGAATTATATTTTAGATTATAAAAGTGATCATAATAAAACTATATAATATTATAATATTTGTGTATTAGATACTCTTAT